GGCACTCGTGACAGTAGGTATCACATGCGGCAGCGCTACTGGGTATCCTGGTGTTCAGTTCAGCCTGCCTTGGAAATCTCTGCCTTTGTAGTTGGGTCTGGGCAAAGTGGTAAGTAAGTAAGTGTTGTAAGATATGAGGTATGAGAGTATACACGGTAGAGAGAGGGGATCGCAGAAATGAAAAGGAGGAAAAGTCGCGACTATTATGAGAAGCAGGTGTGAGAGGCGAGGCGAGACGACAAAGTCTAAGGTAAGGAAGGTATGGTCTCCGTCGAGTTACGCAGAGTCGGCGGCCCCACGCTCGATGGCTCCGTGGTTCCCCCCTCTCCCGTCCCAGATCCCAAGGAAGTCAAGGGCCAACAGGTCCAGATCCACCTGGAAAAGGCTGGTGTCGACCTTCCCGGGTGACGGATACTGCGTAAGGTGGTGAGTTCGGTCGGGGGGCTGACCCCACAGTTGAGGGGAGGCAAGGGCGGGCAAGTCGCCAAGGCAGGCGGTTCTGGCCAATGCGGAGGCACATTCAAGCAGGTCAAAGGCAGTTGCGACTCCGCCCTGAGCAGTCGTTTCGGACGGAGGGAAGTTGACCACTGACGGTCGACCCAATGCGACATGACTACTTCCCTGCGCAGTACCTCTCTCCGAACTTTCCTCCACTGGCTACTTGCCCAGGTGTCCTTGACAAAAGGCGAGCTGACCAATGACACGCTGCTGAGGTCTCTTGCACGTGTCAAGACTCTTCATTGCTCATGGTACCAAAGGTGCCAATTTGCACACAATGGGATTTCCGGCTCCAACTTCCGTATGTCCTTGCCTGCTCATCCACGTCTCGTCTCATTTCGGCGTGGCTTGTTTGGAGCTGCTACCTAGTCTCACGGTTGTTTTTTTCTCTTACGCTGTGTTCCGTCTTTCGTTGCCGGCCCTGTCTCTGTTTCTCTCTCCTCCCAAAATATCCGTACGTGTTGGAAAAATACCCGGCATCGGTACCTTATTCTCTTCTCGCGGCTTTCCCGGAGTCTCGTAACAGGAGTTGCCGAGCATTGACGAGACAAAGACATTTGTCAGGACTGCTTTCCCACATGGCATTCACTCAGTGACCGCATTGCCATGTCTTTTCTAGACTTCTTCCTCGTTTACCTCTGTCATCGCTATCACTGAGGCATACCTAACATAGTGACCCGTGCAGCACAGGCCCCTGACTGAGGCGCTCTTCCTGTAATTTCTTCTTCCTCTGCTCTACCTTATCGTGTCCTCTGTAATCATCAAAGTGTTATCAATGTAGGTCACGAGGGTTCACCTACCATCGTCACAAGACAGCGAGTCTGAGAACTCGAGATATGTCATCACATTCCTTCTCCCGCAGGCAAGTCTCGCAGCGAGTCCCGTGAGATAGCCAAGCCCCCCTCTCGTCTCTTCTTTTCTTCTTCACTTTTTTTTTCCGATCGTAGGTATGCCATGTTGAAATTGAACTTGCATTTGCATATTGCATCTGTCCGTGGTCTTCCATCGCCGCTCGCTCTCTAAGAATCTCGCCCGCTATGTTTCCCTCCGCACGGGTGAAGGGGACCAGACCCTGCGTGGCTGTGCTGGCACGGCTGGCTAGTCTGCTTTTGGTGACTTTTCATCCATCTAGCAAAGGCTCAATGCGAGGAAGATGCCCCTGTTGCAGCCTGCAGCTTGCAGTCACGCCCACAGTGGAGCCAGGCCGCAGTAAACATCCCCCGAGCTGCAGTGGCCAAGTGGGAGAATCGAGAAGGTCCCGTCCTTGACAGCCCGCTATCGTCGAAATTGCGTCACACTGCTTGGGGTCTCCTAGCATTTCGGGGTCGGTTCCATCCAGGCAAGGTAAAGAAGCTGGGGGTGTTTGCGCGCGATAAGGCCAAGCAAACTTACCTGCTCGGACCTTAAATAACACTAGTACTCAGAGCTACTCATCTTACGTACAAACAAAAAAAAATTCCACACGCAACGAATATCAACGGAAATTCCAGAATAACAGCGACATCTAGCGAACAGACGTTAGAAGATTGTTCGTTTCTTCACAATCCCGAAAGAAAATCGCCGATTCTCAAACACGCTCATCATCAATTGAGACCCCTCAGCCTCATTGCGGAAGCCTCAATTCCTGCTGTTTTAGCTTCCCGTCATCGCCACATAGAGAAACGAATCACGACGGACACCTCGCCGTGCCATCTCGGATCGCGCCGCTTGGACGGACACCCACAGACGACACCAACCATCTGACCTTGATAAACCTCGCACACCCGGGCCCGAAGCCCACTCGTCCATCGCCGAAGGTCAGAGGCAAGCGAGCAGCCGCCTGTCCGCTCTGCTTCTCTCTGTCATCCATTCCTGCTGCATCTTAGAGTTTCTGCGCCAGGTCCCACGAGGACACTACCGGATGCATGTCGCCCAGCGGCGAACGCCTCAAGGATGAGGTAAGGCTAGATGTAGACCTTTCCACGCCTGATGTGACGGTCTCTCCGACCTGTCAACGACTTCAAGTCACGTCACGATGCTGACACACTGTTCGCGCCCAGGGCTCCCGTCTGCAGGTTGTAACGGCCGGCGCCACCGCCGGCCTGTTTGCTCGGTAAGACAAAACCCAACGGTTGAGGCTTAGTGATTCACGCTGACCATTGCCGCCTTTTGTCGCGATAGCTTTGTCATTGCCCCCCTCGATGTCGTCAAGATCCGCCTGCAGCTGCAGACGCACTCGCTCTCCGACCCTCTGTCGATCCGATCAGCCAGGGGCGGGCCCGTGTACAAGGGCACACTGAACACCATGAGGCACATCATCGCCAACGAGGGCATCACTGGCTTATGGAAGGGAAACGTCCCCGCCGAGATGATGTACGTGTGCTACTCGGCCGTTCAGTTCACGACGTACCGCACCACGGCGCAGTTCCTCAAGACCGCGTTTGACAACCGCCTACCGAACGCCGCTGAATCCTTCATCGCCGGAGCCGCCGCCGGCGCGGCCGCCACGACAGCCACATACCCCCTCGATCTCCTACGAACCCGATTCGCGGCGCAGGGCAACGACCGGGTGTACACGAGCCTCCGGCGCGCGGTGGCGGATATCTATCGGGACGAGGGCCCGCGCGGCTTCTTCCGCGGCCTCGGACCCGGCGTGGCGCAGATCGTCCCGTACATGGGCATCTTCTTTGCTCTGTACGAGGGTCTGCGGCTGCCGCTGGGCGATCTGCACCTGCCTTGGGGCGGCGGCGACGCCACGGCCGGCGTTGTGGCCAGCGTGCTGTCCAAGACGGCCGTCTTCCCGCTCGACCTGGTGCGGAAGCGCATTCAGGTCCAGGGGCCGACGAGGGCGCGGTACGTGCATAAGAATATCCCCGAGTACCCCGGCGCGGTGCGCGCTATGCGCATCATTTTCGCGAAAGAGGGTGTTCGCGGGCTGTACCGGGGTCTCATGGTGAGTCTTATCAAGGCTGCGCCTGGGAGCGCGATCACGGTTTGGACATATGAGAGGGTTTTGAGGGTGTTGCAGAGACTTGATGGTTCTGATGACCAGCGGTTTTGAGTCTTTCTACACGGATAAGAAGGAAAGAAAATGAGACACTAAAAGTTGCGCGTGGGCTTAAAAAACATGATACCCCTTTTTAGAGAACGGGAATGGGATAGAGAGTTTCCTTGTACAACAATCTGAAGGTTATAGATACACCCTTCACATATAGATAAGCCGTAATACACAAAGGCACATTTGGTGCGTCAGGAGACAACTTTAGCCGCCAGAGATGGCTGTCATTCATTTCCGTGACGAGTACACACACACCTGACTACGGGACTAACACCTAGATCTTGCAGGAACCCTCAATGGCGTGGAACCTTTGCTTTGCTATCTGTAGGCGGGGGATTTAAACACGACAATCACAATGAGATGAGGAAGAATGGAGTTTTGAACGAGAGATTAGTTGTTTGATGGTGTTCATTCTTTGATCAAGGCCGGTGGTGAAAGCACCTGGTGGCTCAGCGTCCTCGAAGGGCTGTAGTTCCCATCAGATAACACCCCCATCCACGGAATTGTCCATCTTCGTATAGTCGAAGCGGCATGACACCACTGGTTGCCGTTTCCCATTGCGTGGTATCGGAATACTCTCCACCCTCCGACGGGAAACGGAGAGAGACGTATGACTTATTGGGGTTAGTAAGTGGTGAGGTGAGACTAATTAAGGTCGATGAATCCCATCTCTTTACCGTAGCTAGGGTACGTCTAGAAGCCATTGTGCGCATCGCACGAGGGCTTGAATTGGGTGTGGTTGATGTGTTCCACGTTCGGCAGAACTGACTACCTTGAATATGGAATAGACGACGGCTGCCCCGGGGAGGGGCCGACGAGACGTCGGATCTCTCATTATGCAGGGTATTCTTGCCATTGAATCGCTATCTAAGTTATGTCCAGAAGTAAACGGGTAAGCGACGTTGGCAGGTAGATTTAGGATATCTCAATAGCTGTTATGGAATGGAGTCCAAATTCAGGGTCCCTAACTCTTATCTTCATTATAACAGATACGCGATGCATTTAATTCCCGTTTTTAACTTCCAAAAGAGCTGGTCAACTATGAAGTCTCTTAGGGAATCGATGGTCTTATGGATCTTACGATTTATACGTTAATGAATGAATTTCATGCAATAGCATAGCGTGCTGCCTCAGAGACATTGTTCATCACTTTATGTGCTGCGTGATTAGACTCACTGATTGGACTCGACTAAAAAAATGAGTCTACAAGTGGACTCGAACTGAAGACCTTCAAAAAGAAGCCACCAGGGTCAATTTTCTTTGGGTTGAGGTCGGGAGTGGGCAGTCCCAACTATTAGGCCAAAGAGATCTCCTCATCCGATGGTGGCAGAGGAAGCATATTACCGACCTATAGACCATAGGCGGTCACTGAGTGTATGAATACTCACGTCTATTGATATCAAAATATGTATATTCGTCCCACCCACCATGATCAACAACACACACCGATTTTCTCATTACCTCATTACTTTTCCAACGTCCCATTCTCCTGCAACCCAGCCACCTTACCCGCATTAACCCGGTCCGCCCTCTCCGTGCACTCCTCAATCACCCGCCAGAACATGGGGATATCCAACCCGCGCGGTATCCTCACGCCCTCGCTCCCCGGCGGCAGGGCTTTCGCGACGGTCCGCCCCAGCTGCGACTTGCCCGTCTTGGCCTCTTCCAGGTCGCCCTCCGTGATGACGGTGAGCTCGAAGCGCTCGTGGTACTTTACGCAGTTGCCCTTTTTGGCGTCGTAGTCGTGAAAGGGGATCTCGTGCCGCGTGCCCGTCAGCACGGCGGCTACGGCGAGGGGGTCGTGGAGGGGGGGTCCGGCTGTGATGCCGAAGACGTCGCTTTTCGCCATCTTTGTTAGTATCACCTGCGATATTCGTGATGAGGCAGTGGGAGGGAGGGGACGAGTGTAAGTGAATTCTGTGTGTATACACATACCTATACGTCTTGGCGAAGAACATGAGGAGCTCAACCAGCATCTGCCTTAGCGTCGTCTTCCCCTTGCCCGTCTTCTCCCCGCCGTGCGTACCATACAGAAGCGCGTCCCGCACCTCCTCGGTAGCAAGAACCTGATGCGACAAATCCAACGGCACAAGCGTCGTCTTGGCCGCGAGCGCCTTATTATGAAACACGGCAGCGGCGGCTTCTGGGTCAATGATAATGTTGAACTCAGCCCACGGCGTCCAGTTACCCACACGGGGGACACCGTCCACGACACCGAGTACAATGTCGGTAAAGCCGTCGCCGATGGCGCCGCCCATGATGCTCAGGCCCTTGAGGTGCGCGACCAGGTCCGGGTACTTTGCGAAGAGCTCGGCGACGTTGGTGAGGGACCCCGTGGCGACGAGCCAGGCGGTTCCGGCGGGCTGGGCGGAGAGGGCGGCGGCCATGGCGTCGATGGCGGGTACGGAGCGGTCTGCGTCTTTGGAGGGTTGGGGGAGGAGGTCGGTGCCGTCCAGGCCGGATTCACCGTGGATGTCGGTGGCGGCCTGCATTGGCGGGCGGGACATTGGCTTTGCGGCGCCGACGTGGACGGGGATGTCATTGTGTTTGCCGATTGCTGTGAGGATTGAGGTGGCGTTGTTTGTGGTTTTTCTGAGATCGTAGTTAATATTGTGATTGAGTGATCATGAGATGTGTAAGAGATGCGGGATGCAGGATGAAGTTTACTCACTCGAGGGGGGCGTTTCCGAAGACGGTTGAGAGGCCTAGCAGCTTTATTGTTGGGTGGTAGGCTGCTAGGAGGATGGCAAAGGTGTCCTGTGGAACTAATTAGTACTGGCTTGACGGTGTTCAGTGATGATTTGTTGCAGTATGTCTGACTTGTCACCAACATCTGAGTGAGGCAGCGTAACATCACAGGGACAGGATGAGTGACACATCGCGAAGCTTAGGACAGACAACAACTCACATCATGGCCGGGATCACAATCCAGCCAGACCGGCACCGGTGTTTCGGGCAAATCGAGGTCAACCATGATGGCTCAGGGTAAATGGTTGTTGAGGATGACAGGTATGTGTGTGTGTGTGTGTGTGTGTGTGTGTGTGTGTGTGTGTGATCTGTGTCTTATCACAAGAGGCAGTGAAACGGCACAAGATTATGATGAAAATGATACTCTGTACGGATACGTGGGTTTTTGGTGTTCCCTCGGCAAGGTGAGCAGACCACGGACGTTGTCGCCGGTGCCGTGGGGTTGCGCTTTTAGTTTACAAGCCCGTGTCTGGTGTCCACTTTCGGTGGATAAGACCAAACCAAACGAGCACGGTGTGGTGGAATGGAGTAGAACACTGCGCAAAAGGTAAGGTATTCTGGGGCTCCAAGGATGGGGGCGGGGAGTCGGCCGGTCTACAGCGGGTCTGCGGACTGCGGAATTGCTGGTGACGAGTCGAGAGGAAGCAGGAGGTCAATTTTAGGTAATGACTTGGATTTTGGACTTTTCCACACAACGTTTGGCCAATCCCATCAGGACTATGATGTCTGCTCTGTTTCGGCTTCTTCATCTAGGTAATCCCAGTGGTCGGGAGTCATGGGACAAGGGAAGCTTTGCGGTTCCATGGTTCTTGGATGAATCCTGCGCAAAATAAAGTCCACCGGGTTTTTCTTACCTCACAAGCTCACTTCACAGGACGAAATTACTCTTGGGGCGGCGGGAAGGCAAGCACCGTGGGCGGAGTCGGGCGGTCTCTGATAAGTGAGGCGGTGCCCTCCGAGCGCCGCTGCAATTCGACCTGCGCCCGTTTCGGAAGGTCCAGCAGACACAAACACATCCACACCCGAGAAAACAACCTCCCGTGCTTGCCGGGTCGCTGGAATTCTGGGAAGCTAGAGCCTAGCTGAGTCACCCTGAATCTTGACTGTCTCGACGTTCTGCTGTGTATTTGAGCTCAGGGATTTGTGCCTTGAGGATGATTCGTAGTGAGAAACCGCCCAACATATCTGAGGGTTGTAGCGATAGTCTTCCGACGGTCCAGGGGTTTAAAAGTCCATGTAGAAATCAACATTCTCACACGCTGGGCGGTAAAACAGGACGATTTGTGTGGTCGACGCGCTCTAGTTTGGGCGCGTGAAGGGTATCATTTTGATTTAGTAAAAACGACGGCTGTATGCGTTTGTGCAGGATATTTCAAGAAACAAGCCAGCAGACTTCAAGCAACAGCTCTAGTACAAGCTGTTAGACAGCTTGAGTTGACTTATTTGCCCGCTGCCTTTCGCTGCTCCATTACTCTCAGCACATCAGCGGCGTTGTTCGCGTCGCCCTTCCTCTTCTTGGGGCCTCTCTTCCTCTTGCTCTTGCCGCCTTGACCGTCGTCATCGTCTCCCTCGTTGCCCCATTCCGAGAGCTTCACCGGCGCATCGTCAAAGTCTGCCTCGTCTTCGAACCTACTGGTGCCGAAGCCCATGTCCATATCTTCGGCATCTCGGTCGACACTCTGCAGCATCCTCTTGTGGCGCTCCCGACGAGCCTTGGCTTCCTCGTCGTCGTCCTCCGCTTCTCCCTCCGGATCTTTGTTTGCCGCCTTGAGCTGCGCAGCCCTCTTGAAAGCAGCCTGTATCGCCGGATCAGACATGGAGGGTCCTTGCAGAGTCTGCGAAGATATAAGGTCTGTCTTGGAGTCCTTGAAGTAGTTGCGCGCTTGTGCTGGCCGCGGCGGTGGCGGCATCGCCATTGTGTCGGCGCTGCTCTCGTTCTTGGTCTTCTTTTCGTCGTTGACCTCGCCCTCGCTATCCTCATCAGAGCTGTCATCCATGCCAGCTAGTGGGTCATAATCGTCTCCTGCATCGGCAAAGATGTCGTCGTTGTCGTCTTCTTCAGCTTCTTGCTGTTGCTTTTGGTAAAATTCGGGTACCTCCATACCCAGCGGCTTCGCATCCTTGTCCGGGATAAACTCTTTGCGCATCTCCTCTTCGACTCCTGGCTGCAACTTGCGGACCTTCCTCTTCTCGTGACCATCTTCGTCTATAATGATCAAGACTTCACGGCCTTTGCTATCCCGTTCGATGCGGCTTCCGGCCTGTTGCTTAGCACCAATCTTCTTAAACTTGCTGTTCAAGGCAGCCTCTTGCTGAGCCTTGGCAGCCTCTCTCGCAGCCTTCATTTCGGCCAGGATCTGGTCGCGAGTTCTCTTTTTCCCAGGTGCGAGAGCTACAGGCGCAAGTTGGCCCTTCTTCTTCACCTTTTCCTTTTCGACAGCCTGCACCTCTGTTGACTCCAGCTCGTCGAACGCATCGTCAACTTCCTCTTCCGGGGGTGCTTCGGCTTCTTCTTCGTTGCCTTTCTTGTCCCCGTAAACATCTTCGCCCTTTCGTATTCTTTCCAGAAGCTTAAAGTCCAGTCCCTTGATCAGATGCGTACTCGAGAGGTCTCCTCCCGCGATTTGGCTGCTAAGCTTCTCAAACGTCGCTTGGTCAATCTCCTCGTTCTTCAGGGCTTCCTCTAGCGCCTTTATCCTTTTAGCGCGGTCATCCTCCTCGTCGTCGGTTCGGTCTCGTGCTCGGTCGACATAGCCCTCTGCGAGTCTAGATCCCTTCGGGGCTGATGTGCGAAATTTCTTCTGGGGCTGCCCTGCCTGGTTCCTCTCGGCAAGTTGTCGCGCAAATTCATTTCGGCTATGACCAACTCCAACGGAGCGTCTGGTACACGTAATTAGCCGATGGACCACAAAGTGAAGAAGACAACATACGGAGTCATGGGAATGCTAGATCGCTGTCGGGATCCCAGCGCGCCGCCGCCTGGGGTTGCGGTGCCTTTGGTTGAAGCATTGCTCGGCGACGCAGCCTTGCCAGAGTCAGCACCCAAAAGCTTTCGAAATTGTTGATTATTCATGATCGCTCTTTGTCGCAGAATTGGTGACAGAGAGGTGAGCGGCCGCAAGCTGGACTAGTTTATCAGGCGTCGTCGGCGGAAGCTGTCAGTTGAAGAACTTTGATTAGTCATGCAGATCTTTGGACGTGCGGGCTGCAGAGCGCGACGGACCCACCCACTTAACGCGCCTGCAGGCATTCACCTCGGCCGGGGCTCCGTCACTCACCAACCTTGAACTGTCACCACGCCCTTCTGTTGATTTACGCTTTATCAAGAGAAACGAATGAACGTCAGACTCACTCACAACTTCCAAAGATGGTGCTTTACAGTCAGCTAGCTGTATGGACGGGTTGATTTGCAAGATAAATCGTCGAGACGCAAGTCAAAAGTCCGCCGCCATCACTACCAATACTCATACAGCCGTGAGTCTGCGCATTACCCGAGACAACCGATAGAATGGGTAGTCGCCTTGAGAAGAACTCCTCGCAGGTGAGGAAGCGGATTGAGAACCATGAGTTCACCGATGAGACTGGCGAAGAGTATGAGCAAAGCGCTTTCGGCGGCTTTGGCGACTACTTTCGTCGGAAAAAGATCAAGCTTCAAAACTTGGACGCCGACATGCGCGCCGCCTCAAGTGACAAGCCTCAAATATTCAAAGGCGTCGTTGCGCATGTTATGGGCTATACGCAACCGCCGCTTCATATGTGAGTAATTATCTATATCTCTGCCACGTGAAGAATATCGCTAATCAACGCTCCAGCTTGCACCGCGAGCTTGTGCAACATGGCGCAGGTTTTTTGCAGTACCTGGATTCGAAGACCATGGCAACGCACATAATAGCGTCCTCTGTTCCGCCTAAGAAGTCCGTGGATTACAGCAGGTATAGACTGGTCAAACCAGCCTGGGTGACGGACTCAATTCAGGCTGGGAAACTCCTACCCTGGTCGGATTATCGGATAAACAACCACGATGGACCGCGACAGAAGGTCTTCAAGATTGACGAATCTAATAAGCTCAGTCAATCGACACCACAAGTGAAGAGAGGCTACAGGGACCAGACTGATGCTAGCTTCTACACGAGCCAGTTCAAGGGGCCTACTGCAAGTCCCGCGACGCCCTCTTTGAGCCGTTTCGCTGAACGGTCCGAGTCTCCGCTCGCTCAACAACATGGCCGAAACTCGTACAGTCCAGCCGTCTCGCAGGCTATGAAGAAGCCGCCGATGAAGTTAAAGGATGACGTGGAGGAATTCGATGACATGGAGATTGACGAGCTTATGGTTGGCATAGTCCCAGAGGAGGACAAAGCAGTTGAAGTGGAAAAGGTTGAAGCGAAAACCGCACCGCAGCCAACAATTGACGAAGACGGCACCCGAGGAGGAACCGATGAAGTCAAGCAGGAACCGAAGACATCAGACAATATGACATCTGAGGAACATAATGCCATACTTCTCTCGGATCCCAAGATCTGGAAATCATCAACGGCGAACCCTGATTTCTTGAAGCAGTTTTACTCGGAAAGTCGTCTTCACCATCTTTCGACCTGGAAAGCCGAGCTGAAGTCGAAGATGCAGAATCTCGCCAAGGAAAAAGGGCCATCTCTCAAGTCGGTGCGGAGGAGGCCAGGGTCACGGCGGTACGTTATCCACGTCGATTTTGACAGCTTCTTCTGCGCTGTTTCCCTCAAGAAGAACCCACATTACGTCGACAAACCAACCGTAGTTGCTCACAGCAGCGGCACGGCCTCGGAGATTGCAAGCTGTAACTACGTTGCGCGCAAATTTGGAGTCAAGAATGGCATGTGGATGAAGCGAGCACTTGAGCTGTGCCCGGATATCAAGGTCTTGCCATACGATTTCCCCGCGTATGAAGAAGCCAGTCGACTGTTCTACGAGTCTATTCTCGATATTGGAGGAGTTGTCCAGAGTGTCAGCATCGACGAGGCCCTCGTTGACATCACGTCAATCATTCTGTCCTCTGCCGGATCCGATGGCGCAGGGGTTGACGAAGGCAATATCTGGAGAGAGCAGGAAAAGGCTGAGGAGATTGCTCTCACCCTGCGTAACAAAATCAAAGACGCGACTGGCTGCGCCGTATCAGTTGGAATTGGAGCCAACATTTTGTTGGCAAAGGTCGCGCTACGAAGAGCGAAACCAGCCGGGCAATTCCAGATAAAGCCGGAGCAGGTGTTAGAAGTCATTGGTGAACTTGAGGTGAAGGACCTGCCTGGGGTCGCCTACAGTCTTAGTGGAAAGCTCGAGGAGATCGGTGTCAAGTTTGTCAAAGATATCAGACAGGTATCTAAGGAGCGGCTATCTTCTTCGCTTGGACCAAAGACGGGAGAGAAACTTTGGGAGTATGCTCGCGGCATTGACAAGACCGAGGTGGGCGAACAAACATCTCGAAAGTCCGTCTCGGCAGAGGTCAACTGGGGCATTCGCTTCATCAATCAACAGGAAGCCGAAGAGTTTATACTCAACCTGTGCAAAGAGCTGGAGAGACGCCTGCTCAGTGAAGAGGTCAAGGGCAAGCAGTTCACAATGAAGATTATGCGACGAGCTCAAGACGCACCCCGAGATCCACCAAAACACCTAGGGCATGGAAAATGCGATTCATTCAGCAAGAGCGTCCTGTTTGGAGTCGCAACTTACAACGCCGAAACCATTGCCAAGGAAGCTGTCTCGATTCTTCGATCCTACAAGTTTACCCCGGGTGACCTTCGAGGTCTTGGTGTCCAGTTGACAAAACTGGAGCCTCTCAAGTCTAGCAATACTGGGCTCGAAAGCAGTCAACGACGGTTGGCATTTCCAAATTTTGGTGGCCAACCGTCGGCAAAGAAGGCTCAAGTAGAATCGATTGAGGATTCAAAGAGTCCTCAGAAGACAAGGGATGCCCAAACTCGGGGCGATGTGTCTGTAGATCCCATTGCAGATGACCCGTTAACACCCAGAAAGCCCAAAGTGCATCCTGCTTTGGCTCTAGCACGGGCTGGTGAAAGGGACGAAAAGGCCCACACTCCTCTCAACATCATGGGCACTCAATTCATCCTTCCCTCCCAAGTCGACCCTGCGGTGTTGGCTGAGCTGCCAGGCGACATACGAGCTAAGCTTCTGAGGGGCCAAAGACCAAAGCCGGAGCCTAGACAGGCATCTCCCCAAGTGAAATCGCGGAGTAATAGCCCGGCGGTTCAGGATGAGATGATCCCATCTCAAGTTGACCCGGAGGTCTTCAACGCTTTGCCGGATGACATGAAAGCTGAGGTCCTGGCGCAGTATGGACGCAAACCGGTGCAACAAACCCGTTTGCCGCAATCACCACGCAAGGACCGACTTATCCAGGGGAAAAAGCCAATCACGCCGACAAAGCGAGGCAAAAACTTGTTCAACGCCAGGGAGAGGCAGCAGGATGCAGCTGCCAATCGCCAGCAGACGAACTTCTTGGCGAACAAAGGCCCTGCGAATGTCGCCCAGGAAGAAGACCCAGAAGAGCTAGATCAAGCATTCCTCGCAGAGCTCCCAGAGGACGTCCGGAAAGAGATCATCGAGGACCACCGCAAGAAGCGGCTGGCCAAACGATCTGGTCTCCTGTTCAACGCCCCCAGAAGGCAACAGAATGGTGAGTCGAGCGACGCTGCGCCCGCTGGACAGACTAAGTTGCATTTCCCTGCGCCGCCCCCCAAGATGAACTTCATGGGTTCCGCCGTGAAGTCCATCCAGGAGATCAAAGACATGCTCGAGGTCTGGCACGACGGGACGCGGTACGATGGGCCGCATCAAGACGATGTCAAGGTCTTTGAGAAGTATCTCGTCAGGGTCGTCTCGGAGGAGCGAGACATGCAAAAGGCCTCGAAGCTGGTGCGGTGGCTCGACTGGCTGGTGGAGGACGACGGCAGCGAGGGACGGGGTAAGCAGGGGTGGAGGAAGACGGTCGCGGATATCAAAGCGGCTGTCCAGAGGGCTGTTGAGCAAAGAGGCTTGGGTCCCGTGAGATTGTAAGGCTATCGTATACGTCACGAAGTTATGATAGGATACCATTGATTGCGTTTGCAGTTTGGCATCGATTTACCTTATGCAGCGTTTCTGAGGCGGCAATTGAAAAAAGCATCGTGATGTCTGACTTTTGACCTCACATGTGAGATGCACGTTGAGATTTACGCTGCGAGAGTGAGACAAAATCATCAATTCAGAGATTCTATAGGCCAGATGCACACATAACAGGGGGTATCCTCCAAAGAAACAATAAAACGCTGCTGTCGTGTAACCATTCTTTCGTCCTTCGAAGAGGCTCTCTCCCATCACCACCAAGACACCTCATCACTAGACCATCACATTTTACAGCAATACGTACGTCGCCAAGCCGCCCACGACAATCGCGGCCCACGACGCGGCTGCTGGCGACGATTGCAAGCCGGCGCTGACCATGTACACGCTCAACTTGAGCGCACCGCCGCAGACCATGCCCTGGTTTCCGTCGCAGGGCAGGTTGCACTGGCTATCGTCGAGCTTGACCGCCAGGCCCGAGATTCTCTGGGCGCACCAGCATTCGCTACGCACATATGAACTCGTCAGTCTTGTTTCTCGTCTTACACGCACAGCGGGCATGGCCTTATCGGAGAGGTTTGAAGGAAAGAAGGGAGGGGGAGAGAAGCGAGAAGAGCGAGAACACGTACCGAGAATACTCGACGCCGGCGTAGGTGTACTGCTTATCGGCGCCGGTGCTGCAGAAGCTGAGGCATAGCGGCACCGTCATATTGCCCTCCATGACCTTGGATGCGCCGCCCGAGAGAGCGCGCTCGTGGGCCGTGTTGGGGAGGTCGTTTGTCTCGTTGTAGCAGCCTTGGTACTTGTACTTGTCGGAGCCCGTGTAGATTGAGAGCTGGGCCGCCGTGAGGGGCGCGAGGATGGCGAGAACGGCGAGGAGGAGGAGACGGGAGAGAAGGGAGTTGCGGGCCATTGTTGTCGTTTTGGGGTGTTTCTTGGAAATAAGGCTGCAGTTGGATGCGATTGTAGTTGGGAGACCTCGTTTCTGTCCTTCTCTTGCTATCTATTGAGTCTTTCTTGGCGAAGCTGTGGGAACTTCGGCAGTGGCGGGATCGTCGAGTATTGTTTCTTTGCGCGCTGAGTAGAAGACGGTTATCGACGCTTATCTGGAACCAAACAATGGCACACCGGATATCATAAATCGTAAGGGGAGATTGGGACACGGGTATGGCGTATTCTCATGCTAAGGTCATATCTTGGTCGGTTCTCCTTCAAGTCGTCCAAACACAAAACACCGTAATGAGCGAATGAGTGAAGCAAAAGAGCGCAGAGGCAAGACGAATGTGAGAGAAAAAAAGATAAGCAGGCTAAATCACCTTTATTCCGTCCGGGCGGCGCGAAACCCCTTCAAGGAGATTTGCACACCATCACTGCGCCGCGATGAGGCTGGAAGCCATTGGTGGTTTGGGTTTAGTGCCCAGACGCTACCGCACCCTTTCGATAAACCTCACAAACGGGAAAATCTCACATTCAGGTCCCTCAGGAACGGTCCAATGGGTTCTTAGCGTCCGGGAGCCCGCTAGAGGTCTCGCGTGGTTTGCATAGGCTCAAAAACGCACATTTCAGGGGAGGGCCCTTGTTCGCACTTCGGGAGAATAGTGAGTTGTCTCCACTACAGCTGAAGTTTGGGGCATGTTCTAGACCAGATTGAGACGGGCGAGAACGATCTCTTTGGGTGGGAGTTGGGTGTGGTCCGTGGGCGAGCCCGGCGCCGGGGTTTGAAGATGAGGGCGAAGATCTCAGCTGTTTCCACTACCAAGAATGTGAAGCATACATTTTCTCTCGTGAGGCTTTGGCATTGTCTTGTAATATAGTCACTTGATGAACTCAAATGGCATGCCATGATGTTGTAAATTACTATCATTATTGTGAATGTCTCGTTTCGCATCCCATCTCATTCTCATGGTTTGCACCAAGAGCTGAATTACCACTATCCATGGTCTGTTCTAATTAGACCGAGGGGCGCACCGGGCGGCAGATGTTTTCCAACGTCAACATATTAGCTGCCAATCTGCATTTCACTCTCTTTTCGGTCTCTTCTTCCCACAAACACGCATATGGGTGGCCTTAACAGCTGGCCGCTGGCTTCTGATTCCACCATGATAACGACTTACTGCAGTCTTTCAGAATGACCGTGTCCGGCTTTGACAGAGGTCCTCTGGTAAGCGATTGATATGGATCACCTCCGATGATCCTTGTCCTCTTCTTTCTTGAAGAAACAATTGACAGCTGAGCTGCCTTGGACTTGGCCATCGCGTTCCGTGCTGGTGTGTTCTGAGAGTACGAGAACCCACAGCATCGGACCGGCTGTGTTGCAGCATTGCTTGCTGTCTGACAGAAGCTCATCCGATTCGGCGACGCCAGTCTTGGCGAGTTCTGTGTGTATATCCTCGCGTCGTAAACGCTCAAATACGTTTTGCACGTTGCTGCGCTTTCAATCATCTATCATCACTTCAATTCATCAGAGTCGTAATCACAATGCGTCACTTTGATCAGCGTTAGTTAGCACAGGTACACACACTACCCCTAACCCGGGGCCTCCAGGAAGCAACTTACAAAGCGCTAATTTCCAAGTCTCCGAATATCCTCGCCTTGAGGGTAACCTCAATATCAAGATTCAACCCCAAATGTACCGCAAACCCTCGGCTCTCGGACCCGGCATGCTTGTGCTGCTGTTGCCGGACGGGTCTTGTCTTCCGGGACCTTCGCCGTCCCCGGCCGAGATTTTGACTAATCTGTCTCATCGGAAACTCTCTTTCGGATTCGGTTTCCGACATTGACATGTCCGTCGACGGCCCCGCTAATACGGCCGCGGGCGGCGGGGCGGGAAGCTCGTAGTCTATCATCGGTCTGTCATCGTCTGGAATTCGTGCGGGTTCCTTATTGTCGTTGTCCTCGTCGTCTCCGCCCATGTCGATGAATGATGTTTGTTCGACTGGTAAGGAGTTGTCGAAGGGCATCGGGCACCATATGAATCTATCGTCGGCGAGAGGCTCTACGGAGCCGTACATTTCTTTCGGGAGCCATACTGTCAAGCTGTCGCGTTTTGCCATCTCTTCTGCTTTTCTCTCTCTGTTCCTTTCTATAGCGAGTGTAGTATAAGCGAATGAAGTGTAAGTACGTAAAAAGAACAGCGAGAGTAAAGAAGTGAGAGACTGTCAAGAATTTGGCCAAAAGGATAGATGCATTTCTATCCAGAAATGGGGAAACAGTTATCTAAGTACGTCTCCGGCCCAAACAGACCAACTCTTTCATCATATCCCCCAACATCAACCACCATCAGCAACGAGCCAGCACCTCACAAAATCTTGGCACACAGCACTGAGCAGGATTCGAATAGCCTAGCCGGCCCTCTCACCAGTGACCACTTGGACCAGGTATCACTGCACCGCTCAATGAAATCATGTATGGGCCCGGGTGGTATTCGCTTCCCAGGGTAGTCAAGAATGCCGCGGGTGCGCCCCCCGGAGTTCTGGCCAAGAATCGACCGAGATCTGCAAGAAAGCCGATCGCTAGAAGGTGTGGAACCCGAACCGCCCCCAACGGTGCAAGAAAACCCGGATTTTTGGCATTCCATTTCGAAGGGTCCTCTGCTTGCCTGGCACCACAAGCAAATAAGCACGCCGCTGATGACATCCTAACACCACGTCGCTGTCGATTCGACCCGTTTTATTCTTCTACTTGCTTGGGTATCACTACCACTACCGGCAACGAAGTAGACTACTAACTCCCGAGTGCTAATTTTGGAAACGGCTCAGGGGTCTTAACCGTCGTCGTTCAGATCGGAGGCTGAACTACATTGACCACCTACTTTGCTGATCAACGGTCCTCCTCACTCAATGGGAGCCCTTCTGCCGGGTCGATCAGAGCCCCTTCATCTTCCCAGTCATGGAAGCCAGCCTCGGTGGAGTATAGAGGCAAAGCCAGTTTTCAATACACCTTGCTTTTTTGTGCACTACGTAAAGCTAGCCGCCGCATTGAGATCTACTATGTGATCGATTTCTGCAGCCCACAGAGGAAGCTCACTACACCTTTCCGAACCAGTAGCTTGATGGATGCCATGGGTAGTCATGAGAAGCTCTCCCACGCGAACTTCAAGCATCATGACAAGGTTCCCAGGCTCTACTGATGCAGCCGTTACGGGACGTCCGTTACATCCTCGACAAAGGCAACAGCAACTCATGTTGTCTTTCACCTATTCACACATCTATGCACACAAACCCTTCAACAAGGATCACGGAATCCCCTTAAAGTTCAAAGTCGCTTGAGCAAACCAGAGCCTCTCGAACTTTCACACAATTCCGGCAGTGGAAAGGCATGGTCCAGAAGGGGACTACTCATATCGGATCGCATCTCTTATTTATCTTCCACACACCCATGTGCAGAACTTTTTTTTTAAAAAAGGTCCAAACAGTAATCTTTTAGTTCAAAGCGAGCTCAAACACCCAAAAACCCATTCTCAGTAGGCTGCTAGTAGGGAAAGCCATCATGAATGCGCGGGTACTCTTCCCTTGCTGATACTCCTTACTCCATCGCCACAATGCATCACTCATCGCCTTGCCGTTAAACTCAGGAAGCGGCCCCTGATCTCAACTCTACTACCCCTTATCCTTAGCTATTCAGCGCCCTGCTCGTATTCGTCAACGAATCTCACGACTTGGGATTCTGAGAAGCACAATACGTCCAAGTCATGATTCTCCGACTTGATGTTCCTCGGGAAGCTGTGGGAATGAACTACTGATGAACAGAAAAAAACAAGTTGCTTAGAGAATGCCCTTTTATAGGCGACCATCCAGGGTTGCCAGTTCAAAGTCCGCCCTTCCGACCAGGACGGTCTATGACGGGCGGAATGTCGGAGTATACCAACTGTCTATCGCCTGCCGAATGCATATCATACCCATGGCTCGCTCCTTCTTAAAATGATTTCTACAGCCAAGGCGGTCCCGGCGAGCTCAACAATATTACAACCGTCCATCTATTTGTACCTGGCTCCCCAGTGCAGTTTTCGAGGGATCCTCAGATGCGAAAACTTGCGCAGAATGAGGTAGGCATCGCGGCGGGCCAGGAATCAGGGCATCGCACAACGAACTTTCTTAAGATCTCCATGAGCGTCCTCAAAGCGGATGGACACGTGGAAGGCAAAATAACCTCAAAAACTTGAATATGTAGTATAATGCGTGTGTGCGTAAAGAAATTGGTATCATAGATCGACGCACCAACCTCACATCGATCTCCAGCGAGTGAGGAGCTACAAGTTTCCTATCTTTCTTTATAGCAGAGTCAACAAGACAATAGCATGCCCTGGAAGCCATAATAATACCGCTTTTCCCTCCCGTATCTGAATCGTCAATGCAATGGGTACAGCCCAGTGGCTTCCACTCTATCTTTCAAACGTATTCTTCCATGCCCCAACTCCGGTGCTATACTTCCAATCATGAAGATTCAAACATGCAAAAAGCCTTGGAGCAATTGTCGCCGCATCACAATACCTCCAATGAGCCAACATTCAATAGTGTTCTCACATCACAACACACTTCTTATCCTTCTCTGATTTACCATGAGTGGCATTCCTACTAGACGTGGAAACTTCCGTCCACGCAGTAGAGCTCGCGACCTCGTGATCAACCTGCTTCTTCTTCTTCTTTTTCTTTTGGGAGCCATTCCAACCGCGCCGTTTCGCGTCCTTGATGTTCTTAGCTGCACTCCGCTCAGCACGACTGGGTCTTCTGTTGACCGAAGAATGCGACTGCCGGCCCGCAGACGACGTCGACGGCGCCTGTAACCATGCCGGCATCAGACTTCTGCTGCCAGAAGCTTCAGGCCGGTTTGTGGAGTTTGTGCTGTATATCGTTTCGAGACGTTCCACCGTTGGTCGTACCGGGCCCGATTGGGTTGGGCGTGGATGACGCGGGATCGGGGCCAGTAGAGGCATCTCGGTTCTCCGGTTCGATTGCTGACGAGTAGGCGCATCGAATGCGCCAGTGACGCCGCTAGGTGTGCTGATGATCAAGGGTTGGTCTTCGAACTGTGATTCGGCAACTTGAGTCTGGTTCTGAGCTTGTCCCTGGGTTTCTGAAGCAGGCTGCGAGACAGGCTGTGGGACAGATGCCCGACGAGATCCAGGCCGGCGGCTTCCCACTGGTACGCGCTGGACTGAACTGAAGTTTCCAGAAAACCGTCTAGATGGAGGCAGCTGCTCATGGCCCCGCAGACTGGCCAATTGATCTGCCATGGGGAATGGTGGCAGTGAAGACCCGGCAATGTCGTCGAGTCTTGCGTCAGTCGCAGGAGCGGAGTAGGGGTGGCTGTTTAAGGGACCGCCATCTGGACGAAGGTGAGATCCATCACCTGGCTGCGCAGATCTAGGCCAAGTTGACGCATTGGAAAGGCGTCTGACTAACGGCAAGTCAGTAGTAGATGCTGATTGTGGCTGTCGCAGCCCCGCAGTATTTGCAGAGGAACCTGATGGAATCTCCAGACCCAGCGAGGGAGGCGCCTGAACCTGCTGAGCGACCGGGGATACGACTGATTGCTCGGGAGAAACTGCCTCAGAATCTTGGTGTGTCCCAGAACTTGATGGTCGAGCCTCTGAAACTTGGCTGACCATCCGCTGGTCGTCAGGAGAGATGGCATGAGTTTCGCTCTGTCTTCTCGCCGCCATCCGTGGGGAGTCTGGTGGCGAGACGTCATAGATATCATCGTCAAGATCAACATGGGCCGAAGGGCTGTGCGTCGGACGAACTGCCGAATCTGCAGTGCGCGGCCGGCTCATGAGCGTCGAGTCACTAGCTATACGCAGATGATAGCTGGCATTAGCCGGGGGGCTGTTGACCGGCTCTTGATAGCTTAGAGGGCGGCCTGATGATTGAGATAGAGCAGGTCGCGTCGGGAGAGCCCACGCCGATGCGCCAATGGCAGGCGCGGCTGTTTGGGTCCTCGCTGGCTGACTCGGTATCTGCACACCGCCAGGTGTAATGACAGCGTTCCGTAGGAAAGAGGGCAAGTCACCGGGGTCGTCCTTTTGGTAGGGAGGCGGCGGTGGAACCCAGTTGTCGGCGTCGCTCTCGTGAGGATGCTCACGTCGGCCGTCAGCTCGCCGATACTCTACCGGTCCAGCGGCCGGCGGTTGCGGGTGGCGGCTTCGGTTCATAGCAGCAGCAGTGGCAGCGCGACGGAGAGTGTTGGTGGAGCGGGGCCCGTCATGCGAGTAAGGGGCTTCGACTGCCTCCTCTGCCTCTTCTTCTCCAATCATCGAGGCGGTCTCGCCTGCCCCAGGCGCCGAAGGTGAGGTTGGCTCTTGCACATTGATACGCGGGGCTGCTCCAATTCGCCTCGGAACGAGAGGGTCGTCCTCGACGTTATCGTTGTCGGCTTGTCGTTCTTCTCGGGGTTGTGGCATGGGCGGCATCGGTGGCATCGGTGGCATCGACGGCATAGACGGCAAAGGGTTGCTCCGGGCTGCAGCGCTCGTAGCTGCACGCATCAAGGCACCGCGATCTCCTCGTTTCTGAGCCACAGTCCTGCGACGTACAATAGCCACTTCGGTATCGATATCTCTTTGCTCCTCTTCGAGCACCTCAGGCTCCTTGGTGCCCACTTCAATCTCAATCTCCGTTCTGACACCATCTTCGATATTGTAGTCAAAGTCTAGGAGGGTAACTCTGCCACCGTCAATGAAGTCAATGTCGTCCTCCTCAATGATGGATTTTCCAGGGGAGATGCCCCGGGCTGCGATGACGAGGCGCTCCTGTGCCGATGTCTGACCAAAGCCCGCAACCCACTTCACCGTGCTGACACCGTCGAGTTCGGCAATCTTTGCACCCCAGATGAAAGTGTTCCGGAGCTTATCACACAACATTTGCCATTGGGGGATCCTTGGGTTCTCTTGCGCCCGGGACGATGACGAACGCGAGGGAGGTCCACTATTTCTTCTTGCTTGTCCAGCCAAGGCTGACAACCCATCAACCCCTGAAGAGTTGAATTCGGGTACAGCGTCGAGGTCTTCAGGGACACCATAGAGCCAGACATCTTTTCCTTGGAACCCAGCACTGACAAGATCCCCATGGAAAGTCGCTGCGGGAAGAGTGCAAGGCGTGAGCTTAGCCTGAGATCCTGGGTCAGGTTTCGGACCCGTGAAATATGTTGTTCCGTTTCTCAGATCTTCGATGCGTACAGCCCTGAACGTCTCGAAACTACGATCGTAAGTAAAGGTCCAGCTCGCCTCTTCTTGGGCAGAGTCCTGCAGCAGCACAGCATGACTGCAGTCACGACTGGTATTAGGGAATAGAATAGACGTAGTCCAAAGCGCGCTGATGCTATCGTCGGCCATTTGGTTGCCCGGGTCATAATACGGGGCTGTGAGGATGACTGTGGTAGGTGGTGATGAGTGGATCGTGGTTCCAAGGATTTGAGTGCCGTCGAACGAGAAGGACAAGGAATCGACTCCGTCGCATTTGACAGCGCGTCTATCTGTAGGTAACGCGCCAGGGTTGACTAGGGATACTTCGATACCCCCTTCGTACGCAGCAGCTAGGACAGACCCGCAGGGTGAGAGGGCGATAGTGCGCGGAGCATGATCCAAGATCAGAGATTGGGTGCGGCGCGGTGGTGACTGCTCCAGATCATAGAGATCGACCTGCATTTCAGAAGATAACACGGCTAGCATCGAGCCGTCGTCCTTGATACAGGTCGACACGGGACGGCGCAAGATCTTGAACTCCCTCTTGACATCGATATCCTTCCCCCGCACATCAAGAACGTAAATTCGAGATGAGTTATAGGCTAGAATGTGGTGACCGCGGGGGGACGGACTAAATTGCATTCCCTCGCCGCCGGGGCATGACGAGGAGCTGATGGAATTGGATATCAACTTTATAACGGTTTCGCGGGGTCGCAGGTATGCTTCGAAAAGGTTGCGTTTGACTTCTCTGGCGAATAGTCGCCTTAGGCGCGGAAGATCTTCATCTCTGACATCGGCATCGCGAAGCTGAGGATGGCTCGAGGCATAGGATTCGCATTTGAAGAGGTGGAGGGCATAGAGCTGGGCCTGCTGGGCGACTGATCGCCATTTCGAGTTGAGGAGGACGAGAGACGCAAAGGAGTCGGGGTCGGTGAGCTGCAATATCCTATGGCCAATGTCAGTAAACTTGTAAGAGAAGAGAGATTGAGAGAGATAGCAGGGACACAGCCATACTGTTGGATAATCTCGTCCGGGAGGCGATCAAAAGCGGAATCCGGAGCCAGGATGGGGGGTTTGTCAATGGACGACCGTGATGCCACTTCCCCATGTCCTCCAGCGTCAGTGCTGGTGTCCATGATGGACCAAGGGCAGCCCGGTTGCTTGGTTGCTTGCGGCGAAGTTGCTGTCGCTGCGAGGCTAAGAGAGCGAAGGGCGGGAGGAAGTTGACATGATGAATCGTCTGGAGTTTTGGAAAAGGGCCGTTGTTGAGACGAAGTAGGAAGGCAGCGCAGTGCGGTGCAGGAGAAGCAGCAGTAGACGCAGAAGCAGAAGCGAAGCGTTAGAGGCAAACGCAAAGACAACAAGTGCAGGAAGCACAACAGTGTGAGCTGAGTGTGGGATCACAGGCTTTGTCTCTATTGGGCCCTTTGGTCTTTAGGCTGGGACTTGGGAATTGGGGACTGAGGGACATGGACATGCGGCTGCGCGTGCGAACGCAAGCAACATGTGGCGGAGCGACGCTACTGGACCACCTGAAGTTAGCCCATTATCTTTGCATCAGTGGGTGGATGGTGTGAGTGGTGAGTTGCGTGAGGGCATCCTCCAAAACAACCAGGTGCATTTCTGTCTGCCTGCTGCTGGGCTCATTCTGCCCCCCGTCCCCCCCTGTTCCTAACGTACTTTACCCACTGATTTGGCGCTAATCATCGGCGTTGGCACCTTATCGGAAGGTACCCGACCAACCCGAGCTGACCTTGCCTAGATCTTCCGTTCCATGGGGCCCTTGGAGTTTCTTTCCGCAGGCAAACATATTTCAAACAGACCAGGGACCCCCCTTTCTATCAATAAGGCGTGACGACCTGCACGTTCTCAAGTCCTTTCTGTTAAGACTTGGGACTCGGGAGTGCTCAAAAGAACTTTGAATAGTAATGGTCAAAGGTCATGAAGGTGAATGATCCCTTTCTCTGATTCTGCGACACGCTTCGAGGTTCACAACACTACCGATAGCACTACATCAAAGGCAACCAACATGCATCCCATTGCAACCACAGCTGCACCCTCTTACCCGCTGTATCTGTCATTGACATCTGGGCGATTGGAATCTGTCTTCCTACCTATGGGAAGGTGGAGATAGAGGCCTTGCTTCAGAGACACAAGGCTTCGCCAGGTCACTTGGGAGCTGACAACATGAGGCTGAGTCTTGAAACCATGTAACAGCAGCAGACACTCTACTACTTCGTTGGGCTTACTCTCTCTAAGCTTATCTTGGCTTCTCCTTGCCTCATCACCATGTGGCTATCGTGAGTCTCTGGTGGCTACTTCAGACAAAACATCAAACCGGTGGCGGCTGGCTATCCGCTAAGAACCAACAGAGAATGGCAGACTCGTTCTCTGACTGGTGCAGCTTTGACGCTGTTGGGGAAGACATTGAAACAGGGATGCGGGACCTCAGCGGCAACCTGCGAATCGCGATATGCAGGGAGAGAGCGTACTATCAACTGTGTCAAGTTGAGCCCCGAAGGCATTAATCAAGTGTCTCTTATGAGCAGCCACCAGTCTCATCTCGACATAACTCTACAAGTGAGAAAGATGGGCCTTTTCACATCTCAGCTAGAAAGGTGGAATGCCCCCGCCAACTACCTTAGCCCAACCGCCCGACGCAACTCTCTTCCAACAGTCCACTTCCAACACGCGGAAAGCCCAGCGACTCGCCGAAGTTGCAGAATTTCCGAATGCGGATGGGCAAGATATATCGTCGTGGTTGCTTCAAGCCTTCAAGCCCTTCACAGTGGCCAACCACAGCGAGACGCCAAACACCCTCCGGGCGAAGGGTGATGCTATTTTTGGATTTCGTGGTTGAACACCACATGCTGAGTGGGTGCCTCCACGGCTAAACCCGCCATTCGGAGACCTTCGTCAAAAGGAGACAGCGGACGCCATGTGTAAGACAGACAGCCTGATGCCATCTTATATTGCTCGAAGCAGTGTAGCAGATTCGTCTTACCAACGGTATCACGAGACAAGTCAGCTGGCTTCACTTTCTCACTTTACCTTTTCGAGGTGCCGGCTTACCTAACCCGGACACGACTCAGCACCGAGTCGGAATACGACAAGAATGGACACCCGGGAGTTGAGAATGTCTCGCCAGCGCTATTTCTGGACCTTGCGAAGTTTTTCCATGGGCCATGAGTCCATGACTGCTGGAGACCTTCCCCAGTATTTCTTGCTTCATCTAAGCAACGGTCCCTTGAAAGATGCCCATATTTACCCCGACTGAATGCTACAGAATAAGGAGCAGTGACGCCAAAAAGCAGGGAGCGATAAGAGCTCTGTGACAGCGGATAAGGATCAACAAGAAATTCTCGAGTCTTGATCCTTGGCACACAGAGGGGAACACGGCCAGGACTCGCGCAAGGATAGAAGCTCGTCGACGGGCTACGAGAACGCGGGAAGCCTCATCTATCAGATGAAGCGCCAAGCCGGCAGCACCCTGCGCAGAGGGAGGAACCGTAGTCCCCTACGCGCGCGTGGCCGTGTTCGTGCCAGGAGCTCTCTGTTACCGGTGCTGTTTGAGCCTGGAAAACTTCATCATGATTCCCTTTTCAGGATGAACTAAGTGGCCGTGAACTACTTGGACAAGTCGGCAACTGATCAGAAGATAGCAACGGGGTATTTTTGCGGCAGTTTTGCTCCGATACGATCAAACAGATGACGATGCCCATGTCTCTCCCTCGGTGAACCACTGCCGTCCTGTTACCGAAAACAGCGAGACCCCAGCTCTCCGGCGGCCTGCTGTTGGACTGTTGGACAACGCTCCAGTGTTTCCAGTGGTCCCCTGGAGACTGGCCGGGGGGGTTCGCCGGGTCTCTTTACAAGGACTTTCTGGCTTCCAGAACCCTCCTGGCCAGCTTTACCTGCGTGCCCTGCGTCAAGCCGGCCAACAGAGAACACAGGCCCTGGCGACGTCACTGCAGATGGGTCACTTGGCAGTGCGCTGACACAGCCCGTGCCCCCTATCAAGTTTGCAGCGCGCAGCCAGCATGGGGGCCCTGGCGTGGAATTGTAGATGGGAGATGGCAGTTGTGTAGGTAGTGCGTGAGGTGGGCAGTATCACCCCAGAAAACCCGCATTTCCCACCTCCCGGATCCCTTCTTCACTGAGGTGAGAGGATTTGGGGTACCTGGCCGTAGCAGTTGGGCAGGCCAAGCCAAAGTGAACAAAGACACGCTCGGCGCCGCCAAGGTTCGACACATTCCATATTGTCGTTCTCAGCGATATCAATCGTCATTCCGAAAAGTGGCCCACCCCTTTCTCTTTGGAACCGATCAACACCCGTACATCTACAGCCTCTTCTCGTCCGAGACTGTCCGCAGGTCCATCTACGATCCCCTCAAGACTCATCTTCGGCGTCTTACCCGCGCCATCTCACTGCTGCAGAGAGTCTGTGAGACTGGCACGGATCCCTCCTCGGAAACGACATGCAGCAGCCGCTAGTTTAGCCTCATTCTCTCGCATTCACTCATTTGCAGTCTCGCTCCTCCTGCTGCTTTCCCCCGCTCGGCTTTGGGCTCTTGTCTCCCGAAGCAGAGCAGACGGCTTCCCACGGTGGCTCTCACGTGGGATCGCGCAGCGCCGCCGCAGCCCGCGGGACCATATGACCTCGAAACATGTTCACCCCTCCTTCGACCCGTCATGGAGACGAGGAAGTTCAACTGGCGGAGATACTCTGCGCCAGTTGCCATCGCCAGCATGATCCTAGCGGCCCTCTCCGTCGTCCTCTACTTCAACATTCGTGAATATCTCGCTGTTCGAGATGGGGTCCGATTTGATGTCTCTACTTTTCCCCAAAATTCCCTGGCGGTACGTCGCACAAGAGTACTGACGCTGCGTGACAGGCCAACTTGCCGAGGGTCACCGTCGATCTCGGCTACGCGAGGTATTCTGGGAATTCGCTCCCGAGCGGCGTGAACCAGTTTCTGGGAATGCGGTATGCGGCGCCTCCGATAGGAAATCTGAGATGGAGAGCACCTCAAGATCCTGAGCCGAAAGAGGGCACGACAGATGCCATCGATGTAAGGCACCGGGCCGTGTCGTTGGATCGAGTGCCACCTCGCTGACAGAACCTCAGTTTGGGCCCATTTGTCTCGGGACGGATGTGACTTATCCTACTTCAGGCCAAGACGAGGACTGCTTATACGCCAACGTCTGGTCGCCAACAAACACGACGGCTGACTCGAAGCTTCCTGTATGGTTATTCATTCAAGGCGGTGGTAAGGTCCCCTCCACTCATACGACATTGCTCCATTTAGAGATGAGAGTCGACTCGTGTTCATGCTCTTGTGTGTCATTCTCTCCTTAAGCTCTGATCTGACACTGCTTAAGGTTACACGTCAAATGCCAATCCCAATTGGAACGGCTCCCAAGTTGTAGATGTCTCGGGCAAAAATGTTGTCTTTGTAAATTTCAACTACAGAGTCGGACTTTGGGGATTCCTGGCGAGTGACCGGGTTCGAAAAGACGGCGAGCTGAACGTGGGACTTTTGGACCAGCGATTGATGATGAAATGGGTTCAGACTCATATATCAAAGGTAAATTCTCATGTTTCATGCCAATTTCATTCGTACTCACACGCACTGCAGTTTGGCGGTGACCCAAACCATGTAGTCATCCACGGCCTCTCAGCCGGAGCAGGCTCGGTCGCCCTCCACCTCGCAGCTTACGGCGGACGCGACGACAAGCTCTTCATAGGCGCCATGTCCGAGTCGGTCTTCTTCCCCGCGCAGCCTCGTGTTCCGGAGCTTGAGTACCAGTTCAATCAGACGCTGGCTAAGGTAGGCTGCACAGATGACAAGGACCAGATGGGCTGTCTGCGCGGTAAAGACATCAAAGCGATCCAGGACGCCAATATCGCATCGCCATTTCCGGGGAGGGCGGCAAACCCGCACTTTTACTGGACTCCATGTATAGATGGCGATATTCTACAAGATTATCCGTACCGGCTCTATGACAAGGGTTCATTCATCAAAGTCCCCGTCCTCTTTGGGACAGGAAGTAACGGTTAGTCCCGTCATCCAATTGCAATCACGACCGAGGTACTCACATACTCCTTTAGAGGGATCCGTTTTCGCCGCCAACGTCGCAACCCAAGACGAATTCGTCTCCTTCATGACAGACAACTACCCCAAACTCACAAAGAACGAAACCGACCCGATGCTGCAAAAGTACCCGCTGTTGCCGCCACTCCCGAACCACAACGTCTGGTTCCCGTCCACCAGCCAAGCCTACGGCGAGACGACCTTCATTTGCCCCGCCAACACCATCATGAACGCCTACGCGGCTGCCAACCGCTCCGGGACGAGCTGGTCCTACCGCTTCAACGTCCAGGACAACGACAACACGGCCTCCGGCCTCGGCGTACCGCACGTGTTTGAGGCGCCCGCCATCTTTGGCATCGACGCGTGTCCGACGCCCGACAGTTTCCGGACGTATAACAAACCCATTGTCTCGCTGATGATGAAGTACGTCATCTCGTTTGTGCGCGATCTCAACCCCAATACGTATAAGCTCGCGGGTGCGCCGGACTGGGGCGATTGGGGACGGAATCAGTCGCGGTACGTATTTGAGTTGAATAAGAACCGGATGGAGAACGTCGATGATGGGCAGAGGGACCGGTGTAACTTTTGGAAGGGGATCGTGGAGGTCATGGAGCAGTGAGGGGGGGCCTTTTTTTCAGATATTAGAGCACCGCGGACCATGGATAATGAGGCGTTTGCATCTGGTGGGTTGGTTTCTTGTTTTTCCTGTGCATACGAGTAGATGGCATATCGGGTTGATACCAGCATTGGATGATACACATAATGTGTCTATTTCAGATTTCTTTCTACTGCATAATTGCAACATTGTTCTTAAATACGTGTCTTTTTCTCCAAGGACTATTGATCTTCTTCACCACGTAATAGCTTCTTATTGCAATATAATGGACCTTAGTGAGAGAGTATATCAATGCCACTAGAGTCGTTTGACACGATAGTGGACGCAGTAGAAAACCACCAGGGAACGACATCCCAAATGGGTAAAGTCAAGGGAAACTGTGCCGCAGATTCGGGCACAGAACGGGGCCAACCTGCATGTGCTTACGCTCAGCAAAAACACCGCCAGTAAACGAGGTCTGAACTGGACAGTTGCGTCACGGACATGGCAAGGTGCCGCCTTTCTCTCATGTGACTGATGTTGTTGACCTCAACGCAGCGGCGCGGCGCAAGGCAGCCGCCTCAACATTCGAAACGAGTCCGTACGTTGTCGTGGGCTTTTCATCCCCCTTCCCGCTGCCCGCAGAAGAAGCGAATCTTGTGAGATCATAGAGTCGGTTTTTATTTTCGACTCTACGCAAGCTTCTCTGTCTCATTTGTAGAATTCAGTTTCGCGCTAAAAAGACTGATAACCAGAAAAAGATGCCGTTGAAGGACCCCCAAGCTGAGGTCACACGGAAGGATGAGGAAAAGTCGGAGCGTGAAGAGAAGGCTGCCTATGATGATACGGACTGGGAGCACGTGGGGGCATCTATCGATGAAAAAGGTACGTCTACGTGTTCAATGTTCTCAAATCAGCTGGGAGAAGCATTCCGAGTCTGGGAAAAGTCTGGGAGTTGACAACGCGGTAGAAACGGCTGGAGAAGAGTGTACCGAAGACAAGGAGGCCAGCCCGCCGAGTCAAGTAGCCTTCGAGAGACCGGAGCGTCGATGGCAGGGACTTCGAAGACAGGAGGATGAGGCAAAAGGGAATGTTGTTTCTGAGCTTGTGAGTTTCTGTTTCTTTCTCACATTGTGAGAAGACGCGGTGATGCTAACCATGTATGTTATCCATGGCAGCTTTTTTTTCTAGCTGGACTGTTTTTATGGGCCGTTTGATGGAGTGTCCTAGATTGAGATACGTATATACGAATTCGAGCTCTGAGCATGAGAAATCTTTCGACGTATTTCGATTAAAATCGCCAGCTTGCAATAAAGAAGCACATCATCGTCCTAATGTGTGACTACTGAAGTTATTGCCTGCTTTCTCCTCAAACACCAAGGCAGCACTTCAACTCCTAGCAACGATAGGGAGCCGGCATTCTAAAGAGGGAAGTATGGTTTTCGCCTCGCAAAGCTCCATGGACGACCTATTAATAATAATCTCTCCTTCTATCATATGGAAACAACTCCCCTTTATCAGGTTTCCGTCCAATAATGCAATATCTATAGACAGAATTAGTCCGCCTATCCAAACAACTCAACAAGAGCACAGCAAGCAGAGGGAAAGGGGGAGAAAGGAAGGGGGGGGGGGGGCAGGATCTACTCACGCCGGCATGTACGCATGAATATCCCTATCCCTCAAATCATTCCTCACATCCACCAAAAACACATTAACAGCCTCGGGTGTCCACTTGAACGCGCGCGTAAACGCCGCCATCGTAAAGGCCTCCATGCCCGTCGTCCCGTTCTCGAGCTGGATCCGGCCGAGCTGCTTGTGCTTCGCGCTCTTGGGCCACTCGTTGAGCGGCCACTTGAAGGTCGTGACGGACACGTCGACGAAGCCCGCGGCGGCGAGCCCCGTGGTCGGATCGCCCGTGGCGAGGGCGCGCGGGTCGATGTACGGCCTGCCGAGCTTCTGGGAGGCGGCGGCGAGAAGGCGGGACCAGTGCGAGAGGGCGTGGTGGGGGGTCAGGGTGCCGTCGTCTGAGGTTACGTGGACGTCTAGTTCTTGGAGTTCTATCCAGCCGCCTGGTTCGAGGTTGCTGGGTCTGTATTAGTCTCTGTCCAGGAGGGCGTGGTAAGGGGGAGCGTAGTTTTTGCATGTTTCTTCTTGAATGACGAGCAATGGAGGGGTACTTCTTACTCGTAACATCTACGGAGGTAGAGGTCCCAGTCGTTGATGGCGCCCGTCATGACGCGGCTGTGGATGTAGTTGAATGGTCGTGACCAGGTCCATTCCTCTTCGAGGTCGTCAATCTCGAATTTGAGATTGGGAGGTACACTTGAACTCCATGGTTAGAAACACCCGAGAATCGTGGCTGAAGGAAATGCAGGAGAGCGAGAAAGTTCCGGTAGCGAAGGACGTCGATTCAATACATACTAGTCACAAAGGGGCGGCGAGAGATCGATGCCAATGACCTGCAATAGAGAAGACTTTATGTTAGACGGAGAGTACAGAAGGTGACGGATTACCCCTTACCCTCCCGTGCGGGGTGGGGGGACATGAGACTTTCTTACCTCTGCCTCTGGATGGTCATCCGCAAAGTTGACGGCCCAGATACCGCTGCCGGTACCGACATCGAGCACCCTGCCGCACGCAGTCTCGTTGTCCATCCTGCACGGCGGGGCGACGCCGCAGGTGAAGTCGAGGGATATGAGCCATAGCTCATTTTCCAACTCTAAGGCCGTGGAACATCCGTCCGGGTTAGTTTAATCAAACAGAAAGCAGTTTATGATTCGGGTACTCCAGTATGGGTGTCGAGATACACCATGCAAATACAGAGAAGAAGAGAGCGAACCTAATCTTTCCATCTCTCGCTCATCGTTGGGCTTGGTGTATTCTAGTATCTCATGTCAGGGCCTCAACTCCATGCGAAGGTCATCTTCAGGTTAGAGTCTTGATATGGTGGAACTCACTGCCATCTTTATACCGGTGATATGTTCTCCCATTCTCCACGCGGTAGTTGAGAATGGATTCGCGGAGACTTGTACTCGACGAAACGATCTGGATACGAAAACACACTTGTTGAGTTGAAGGTCTTCTTCTTCCCCTTTCCAATGACACAAGGTTAAGGAAGTCGGAAGGTGTGAAGGCGAGGGAAAGAGAAGGGAAGGACTCGAAGCTCTTACACTTTGGATATCTGATTGATCTTCATCTATTACTCCATCGCCCAACTCCCGCACGACTGCAGGGTTATTGTCGATCATGTTGTGTAGCCCGTACTAGAACGAAGGGGGGAATGGGGATAGGGATGGGGATGGGGGATGGTCCCGAAAACCCGGATCTTGTCAAACTATCCGTATCCGTGGACCAGCTTTGAGAACTAAAAGAAAAGAACGAGGAGAAGAAACCGGGCCCGAGCTGACGGGGGAAAGTGTGAAAGGGTAGAATTAAAAAGGAAGAAAAAGAGGGGGGTGGTCGTTGGAAGTGTTGGACCGTTGGTGGTGAATGTTGTTGGAAGTCGTCTTATTCTGGCAACGCCGGATCTGGTGACCAGGGGAGGGATTAAACGAACTGTGCCGTCGGGTGGCATGTTCGCCGTCGTTGGTTCTCCTTCGTTTTTCTCAATCGAAATCGCAAGGGCGGGCATTTGGATTGTGGAAACCTTCGAATTGACGAAGTTTGGATAGGCAAAGGGGTTCGGGAGATAATTTGGATGTGTTTTACTCCGTACTCTGGATAGACATGGAGGCGAGTCATCTTGCTTGTCGTTCGCTTGTCTTGATTTACGCTACTACCGGATTTCCATTGAAAAGACCATGTCGGTCTAGACTCTACTCTTTCTGAACTTGCAAGTTCTCGTGCTGCAGGGTGTACGAATATCTCATCACATCTCAACTTTTTGATATCCTGGAAAGAGAAGCAAACGCCGAGGAACCCGTGATTTTAGACGACGGGGCAGGCTTGGCAATACCCTGGTTCGGACTTTGCTGAGTCTCTTCAACGAGTCAAACGAGAACCTGGAATATGGGTGCGCAAGTGCATGAGGATCTGCTCTACGCGAAAACGATAAGGCGAGCCGGACGCGATGAAGGATGAGTTGAATTCCGTAGATTCAAGATGAGAATAGAATTTGGAAGGGCCTTTGACGAAAGCGACAGCCTTCTATTGAGATAAGAATAGCGACTCAACGCCTTGGCACAATTCGCAATTGAGCTCATAGGGGACTTACCTTGGACAGCGACGATAGAGCCCATGGAGCTCCGATGCTCATTAGTTTACTTGAGAATTTTGAATCACTCTCTGTACACATTGGCATAGTTGGGATAAAGACCTGAAGTATCAAATAGCGTACGGAGTAGATGACCTTGTTCACGTAATCGCGTACGCGTAGTCACAGCACTTGACGCCTTGCTGTGGCTCTCATGTGTTTGCAGGGACAGGGCACCCAGGATGACTGACCACTGGAAATTAATCAACTCCCGATCCGAGAGTGACTTGACTTCACCTCCGATATCTCGTACGCAGTGCAAACACAGACTCCCAGAACCTTCACCACAGCATTCTCCCCGTACTCTCTCTCCAACCTTACCTCTATCTTCATTCAATCCCATTCGGCTCGGGAATAGGCTCCGGAACCAAAACGGTGCTCTCCTCTGGCCTCTCCTGCTCCGCCTGCTTCTCCCTCTTCTCGTAGAACCCCTCAACGTCCTTGACCACCTGCCGGCCCGAAAAGTTCTTCATCAGCTTCTGCGCCTCGCCCCGGATGCGGTGCTGGTACCAGTACGGGAACGCCCGCAGCGCCGTCAGCACGTTGCCGTACGCGGGCAGGACGACGTGGCCGCTCTCGCCCGTGAGCACCTGCCTGACCACGGCGTCGGCGACGGTCTCGGGCTCCAGCGCCGGGATAATGAACTCCACGCCTTGCTCGTAGCCGGTGAACAGTGGAGTCTTTGTGAAGCCCTGGTTGACCAGTACCGTGCGCACCCGCGGGGCGTTGTACCGGGTGGTGAGCTCTGCCGTGATGCCCTCGTGGAACGCCATGGCGGCGGCTTTGGACGCGCCGTAGTCGACCTGGTGAGAGTTAGTCATCTTTGTTGTATTGACAAGTCAGATTAGCGCCGAGAGTTCATCCTACCATGTTGGGGACGCAGAGGTAGCTTGCGTACGATGCAACCGTCACAATCATGCCGTGGTTCATCTTTGCCATGTGCGGGAGGAATTCCTTGGTCGTCCAGTAGTGCGCAAGCGTGTTGACGTCGAAGGTAAAGCGGATATCCCGTTCCGTCGAGTCGAGGACCGTCTTTCCACGCGCTACGCCGGCATTGTTGATCAGCACCGTCGGGTGGCCGACCTTTGCACGAATATCGTTGGCTACGGCTCCGAGTTTCTCAGTCGAAGTGATGTCGCACTTGAAATAGTGCACGTTGGAAGCTGTCGGCGGGTGTTAGACGATGAACCCTACAGAAAACGGGCATCACCACAGATTTCTCCACTGAGAGGAAGGGATCACTCACCAGCAGTGAAAGTCAAGTCCTGGATATCCAACACAACGACAGTAGCACCGTGCTCAGCCAACAACCGCGCAACATGCCCACCAATCCCACCAGCACCGCCCGTGACGAGGACAATCTCCCTGCGCCAGTCGTACCGGTCGTCGACCCAGTTGTTCAGGGCGCGCCGCGAGAGCCAACTGCTCGCCCAACGCGTGACGGCGCAGTACGCCAGGAACTTGATGCGCGAAAAGGCTATGGGGTGGAGGATGGCAAGATCGCCGCCCTTTTTGGTGTAGCGGGCGAGGAGTAGGAGCGGGAGGAGTACGGACGGGTTCAGGGCAGTCCTGGCGATGAGGCGGAAGATGGGGTCGGCTGTGAGGCCCTCGCGCGGGAGGAAGCCCTGGTGTAGAGGCATCGTCGGGCTTGTGTTTTGTTACTGCGGTTCGCGATGGGGCGTGGAAGTCTGTCTTTACAGGCTGGCGATGTGTCACAGGGGGATCAGGCTTCCGTTTCTCGAAAACGTTGATGAATCAAACGACAGACTGAGAGGTAGTTCTGAGGTGGGATTTTGCTAACACCGGTGAGTTGAGTGAGTATTCGTCAACCAACAGCCCTGAGTTGCGATGCAATGAAGCTTGAATTAGAGCTTGGGTTATATCTGATTTCCAAGACAGGAGGGATTGTCAAAAGAAAGACAATCTCAACATGACACCACCGCACAATTAGTATGCGAACCCTCCGTATTTAGAGGGTGTTTCAATGACGAGGGGGGTTTCAACAGTCATAAGTAAGAAAAAGGTGGCCAGGGTTAACCGTCGCGCACCGGGTGACAGAGGCAGAATAGCTCCCAACCCGACTTGATGCTTGGCGGGAGTGAGGTGGGAAAGGAAGCTACGACCATCCAAGTCCCCGTCCGCCTTCCCCGTCCCATCATTGCTTGCCGCACTTCAGTCGTACAACCACACCATGTGCAGACGTCCTTTTCCAGATTGGAGATGCAACGCGCAGCCGAGGTCTAGTGCGGCCAGAAAGTGCGGGGAATCCGGGGGGCCGTAGTGGAAACGGCGCGGAAGTCTGGGGTGGCAGCCATGTAGAGCCCGTCTAGTGAGTATTGTGATAGGACAAGGGCCGGAGAGAAACGTGAGTTGCGAGCTTGCGATCGACATTTCCTCGTGCCATAAATCCCAAGTGCCTACTAAGAAAAAGGCTGAGCCGAATGGTCAACCGTAGGTGTGCACTACAAGCGCGGGTGGTTGGCCACATGCAAGTTGTAAGTGTAAAGGCTCGTCGCCTGGCCTGACGTGCGTATTGCCTTTTCCAGAAAGCAGTTCGTCGCGCGTGCGGCATGGGGCCCACCGGATGGCTAGGACTCTCAGCTCCGGGTACTCACCGACCCGGTGGGAGTGGGGAATCACCAAGGTCCCGGGAATGAGTTTCCTACTGCGTAATAGACCCGTTGCTAGCGATCGGCCGGTGTTTGCTTAATTGTCTTTGAGTTCTGCATGGAGTTCTACGAGACGAGAAGCCTTCTGTGTATCCGTACTTTTGTTGGAGAGAATTAACCTTATCTCCAATTGGCTTCCCTCCATCATCGTTTTTCACTTCTGCCAACTTCTGGAAGACATCAAATGTTCGGCCGTTTGAGATATCTGTGCGCAAAGGTAAGATACTAAGGATGTATATACAACCCCATCGGTATCGGTTTCGGCACCATCCGACGGCCGACGGACAAGAACTATGATTCCCGTCGGGGGGGATTCAATTAAGAAATATGTACTAATACAGCTTCCGCGTCTGGGGGTATCATGAATGGGCACAAATGTAACCAGCCAGCTCGTCCACAACGAAACTGGCAAAAAGCCTCCCTCTCCCTCCGATCAGAGCACCAGCGCAGCGCCAATGCTCACCAAACACAACCAATACGCCCCGTCCCTCCACCTCAAGCTCGCTCCCGCGCCGAGACCGTCACCGGGCGTCGCCTCAGGCTTCGTCCCGCCGAGCCCGTCGTCGCTGCCGCTTCCCGATTTAACTTCAATCGTGGTGGAGTCGCCCGGCGCGAAGAGCACGCCGATCGAGTTGGCGGCCGTGGCGTTGAGTTGCTCGGGGGTGAGGAGCGGGTTGTTGACGGCGTCGCATGAGGGCCGGCTGTCCTTTTCTTCGATGCTGTTCGTGACGGAGATGGGCACGTCGAAGATTGTATAGTGATCTTCGCCGTTGAGGCGGAAGTTTTGGCGGATGGAGATCTGGGGGGGGGGGGTTGGTGTTAGTCCTAGCTGTATCGGAATTACATGAAGATCAGGTGAAATGCCAGACTTACATTGTACGCGCCGCGATCGCTGGAGCTGGAACTGGGCTGACCATTGCCGACGAGACAATCCGGCCATATCCAATTTACGTGCTTCACCGTGCTGCCGGGCTCCTGTGTCATAATCTCCCCCAAACTGGCGTTATTAGCCGTCGCTGTGCCGTTAGAGATGGTGAAGTTGCGGCCGGTAGCATAGCTTGACAAAAACATGGTCACATTGAAGATCTTGGTCGGACTATCCGAAGCATACGGCGGCAGCGGCATCTTGCCGTTCGTCGAGACGTCAATCGCAACATGGAGGTTATCTATAGTTAAACCAGTATTAGTATTGACCATTTGTGGCCCGATGGAAGTCAAAATTCATGTTGTTTGCGAGACTTCATCTGAAGTTTTGGGAAAGGTGTCTGGCAAGTTTACTAACCTCCGCCCAACGGGGTCCCCGGCTGAGGCGCGTCCAAAATGACCA